AAAATATTTATTATACACTTGTCAGAAAACTTTGAGCGAATAAAATATTCTCAGGTATTTGAACGAGATACGCATGTAGGAAGTTTATATATGTCGACATATGTAGAGCCACCCATACAGTATAAATGTCGCATTGAAAATATTCCTAACTTTGTCTGTCCATTCCATGACGTCGAAAAAGTTTATTTTTAAGAGGGTTGGTGTTCCATTTAAGGAATAAAGAATAACTCGTAATAAATATGATGTGACTCTTCTGACAAAATAGAAATGTGTTGTACGACTCGTATGTGGTTGCAATATATTCATTGGATGATTAAGTTTAAAATGATATAACCTCTGTTGAAAATATTGAAATTGGAATAGAATAGCAATTAACCATGGCCGATGTTGATATTTTCTAGCTATATATTTTTAAACAACATTCAAATGCAATACAATTATTAATACCAACGAAATAAGTCCATTACTCAACACATGGGCAGAATTATAATGGATGGTTTCTATTCATTCACCCAGTCATCACTTCTAACTTTGTACAACGTTGTACAAGAGTGACAGCAGTATGAAGGTGACATTCCGTTTCAAAGTGTTACAAATCATACTATAGTAAACGATTCTAAGGCTATCGGCGACGTTTTGGAATGATCATTGAGGATTTGATCAAAGACAGATACCGGTGATGCTATGCTATTTTGAAATTCATTTCGCCGAGTGAATAGCCGAACTTATTATTTCAAAACATGCTGTAAATAACGCCGTGAGTGGTAATTTAGAAATGTGTAAAAAAAATGTCGACATTTACTATGCACCTCATTTTCAGTAATTTTGCTTGGCCAAAAATGCCAGTGGATGACATGACCAAACAGGGAATTTCCCACCGTATTCAAAACTGTGAAGTATCTCTGTGACTGCTGCAGTTTGAATTTTATTCGACTTCAAAGTGAGGGTTGAAGAGGAGGGACATATAAGTCCCTCTATCATCCAAGGGGAAATTAGCCTGTGTCAGTTTCTCTACTTCATAACATTTTTAGGAATTTTGTAAGCCTTCATTCTGGACAAGGTGTAAATGGACCTCGTTGCCCGAAAATCTATAAAATCTTCGGCCTACCTTTAGAATTCAGTACCGTATTCTAAAGGTGCTCCAAAATATAGAAGTGAATTCTTGTAAATAAATATGTCAACAATGCAGCTCTTTTAACCATTTAGAGGGCAGGATCTAATTGTTTTAGTTTTATGTGAATATACAAACGCAAACAAAATCATCGAATTGCAGAAATACAATTTTTTAAAATATTTTCTGTCTTCACTTAGAATTCAACCCATGAACCACTTTTAATCTGCCTTAGCGCTCCAAAAGATTAGCGAGACTGTTGTCAGTTGATTTTGTTTGTCTATTTTCCACTCTATAAAATTGTCCGCCATCAGATTTTGCCCGCCACAGCAAACGCAAGATGACACGCTTTTCACAGGTGTTTTCACAGGTGTGTCCCTCCCTCCCCTGTATCGGCATTAGCGTAGCCATTTTTGCAAATCACCGGATGTGACGTCAAATAAACACGCTGAGTGTTTTTTATTTTGGCCTGTACCAATCTCATTAAAATCAGATCTTAGTTCTCGCTACCGCTAGCGAGAACTAAGATCTGATTTTAATGAAATTGGGCCTGTACCGGCTCCTAGCTAGGCGCAAGTTGACGACGCGCATAGGGAGCCGGGAACCAGCTTACCGTATATTGTGATATTAGAGACGGGGCCCAGCTTACAGCTTAACCTGACGACTTAAAACGTATGACGTCAGAACTGGCGATGATGACGTCATACCTTTGTACTTGAAGTCTTTGGCCTTGGTCCGGGGACAGCTGACAGTGACGCTTTTGCGTTGTCAAATTGCAGTTAGAGTCGGCCAGGAAACTGGTCAACTTTAGAGGACGTTTTCTGCCCAATGCGTCAGTGTGTGTGACTAGATTTGGAATTGAAAAAACTCCTAAATGACATGTATTAAAACGGCAACGGAATGACTTTTTAAAAAGGCACCGATAGAAAAGAGTTGTATATTATTTACGTTGATAAACTATCTAATAAAATCACGTGACCGCCGCCATATTGGTCGGAAGCCAGAGGTGCTTCCATGGGTTTGCACCTACATTGGAGTTTTGTCGCGTTTATTTGATTTGGCAGAATGTCGTAGAACATGAGGACTGTTATTTACAACTACTTCATTACTCGATACGTTACTTAAAGACTACTTCTTGTCGCGTTTAGCCATATTCTAGCAATATCATGGCTGGGGACACCAGAATTGGGTTTCACACATTTTACCCATATGGGGAATCGGACGTTTTTAACGATTAGGTTACTTTTCGAGATAAATAGAGAATAGGTTCATGGAAGTTCAGATACATATAAGCATATATAACAGGTTGATATGTCTACACTGTGTAGTATGAAGGTTTGAAGATAACTAGATGGGATTAACGAAAGTGAAGCAAAACAAGCAGTTGTGAAATCGCTGTTGGGGATAGGTGGGATAACAATGAACATGCGACCAGGTCATCAACTTTTACATTTGCACTAAAGCCATCGTTTAAAAATATAAATAGTAAGTATCTAATCTGCAGTTAGACTATCTCAAGCCCAGCTTGTTTGTACGGAAGCCTTTTAGGGCCATTTGTTTTTAAGGAAAGAAATTCCGATACTACCTTGAAATTTTAAGATACAGAAGTTGAAATTTCAAGATACTACCTTGAAATTTCAAGAAAAAGAAGTTGAAATTTCAAGAATCTAAGTCGAAATTTCAAGATACAGAAGTTGAAATTTCAAGATACAGAAGTTGAAATTTCAAGAATCTAAGTTGAAATTTCAAGATACAGAAGTTGAAATTTCAAGATACTAAGTTGAAATTTCAAGATACAGAAATTTATTATCTTGAAATTTCAACTTATTATCTTAAAATTTCAACTTAATATCTTGAAATTTTAACTTCTGTATCTTGAAATTTCAACTTAGTATCTTGAAATTTGTATCGAAATAAATTAAAAAAACCAAATGGCCCTAAAAGGCTTCCGTATGATTGTCTTCTAAATGATAATTATTAACTCCTTCTTTGATGGTGCAGTTTGGAAGTGACACTGGAACTTCAGTAAAGCTTTTAAGAAGTTTTAAGGTAGAGGGTATGTGGAGGACATTTCCAAATTTGACGAATCACTGACGAAAATGATATCCGATGCAATTCCCTATTTCTACTTGTACCATATGGTCCCGTGTTTTTTTCAGGTGAACAACTGCCTTTGCATGTGTTTGTGATGGGAGATTTCTATTAACGATGGAAAGGGTGTTGTTGCTTTTATTTGTAAACACGTTAATTCTGTTTATAGCTGATGTAAGGAAAGTCACCTTCCTTTGTGTTACAACATTATTAACAAAGGCAAAATTAATGTAACAGAAAACTATTACAAATGCTTAGGAAGGACATATTTTATGGTGATATTTTATTATGTCGCTTTGACCAAAGTATCTGATTTTACATGTTAATTGCATTTTCATACAGTCCAAAATTACGTAATGAAATCACACAAAAACCTGTTCTAATGAAAACATCAGTCTATCAGCATTCTACGATTGACTGCATAGAACACTTAAGGAGGATAACCGTTAACAACTGTATACATTCGATATATTGAGTTAAAGCCACACAATCATCCATCACATGAGCAGCTCTCTCGTGTCATCTGCAGCTAAAACAAAGATTTTCAGCCATACCTCAGCGTGGTTCCAGTGAGAATGGCGTTGTGTGTGTGTGTGTGTGTGTGTGTGTGTCTTGTCGCCTGCAGGTTCTCTGCCATACATGAGGGTAGTTTCTTTAACAATGAACCCGCTTTTAGCAATATTCCAGCAATATCACAAGAAATGGACTTAACACATTCTACCAATGGGGGAATCGAACCCGGGTCATCGGCGAGACGTACGCGAGAGTGAGTGAGTGTGTGAGTGAGTGAGTGAGTGAGTGAGTGAGTGAGTATGGTTTTACGCCGCTTTTAGCAATATCCCAGCAATATCCCGGCAGGGAACACCAGAAATGGGCTTCACACATTGTACCCATGTCTGGAATCGAACCTGAGTCTTCGGCGTGACGAGCGAACGCTTTAACCACTAGGCTACCCAACTGCCCCCACGCTTAGACCAATAGGCTACACCACCGCCCACATTAGTAAAGGTATCAAGTGAAACATTACAACTTATATTATATTTATTTATTTCGGTACCCATGAAGCCACAGGCTTATAGTACACTGCAAACATTATTACATAACAATAATACTTGTACTAAAGTGTAATATGTTTTCTATGTAACATTGCATGATAAATAAACATGGACAGATTCTGGAATTTATCATGGTTTGTACTGATTAGCAAAGACGAATATTTATTCAAGGATTGACAAAGAACCGAACAATCCTAGAGTCAATCCTTATTATTAAATTCGACTACGAAACATGTAGGCCAGTTAATGGAAGACCGCGGGCTTCTGCAAATGATAGTGCTCTGAAAAATAGCGTTACCGTTATAGTATTGTTACGTGTATTTGTTTGTACACCAAAGAATGTCTTACATGCAATACGTGTACTCTTCCTTTTGAACCTTATCAAACAAACTGTTGCTTATGACGATGAATTTATTGTTCAAAGGATTCCTTCGCACCACTAACTTCAATGGACGCATTATTACACAAATCAAATTTGTTTCCTACATATGAAATGACATCTTAGTTCAAAACGTCAACGCCAGAGAATAACCAGTCTCGATTATCTGCCTAAACGGCAATATAGTTATGAAAATTATAGGAATGGATCACTGAAAATTACTGATGACACCAGGGCCCCGTTCCTCAAAGTGATCTTAGCGCTAAGGTGATCGTAAGTCTTAAGATTGGACGGTCCAATTGTAACTTTCGATTGTAGCTTACAATGATCTTAGCCTACAATCGCTTTGTGCAAGTGGATGACGATTGAAGCCGAAGCCTAAGATCGCGATCTTAAGGATTTACAATAATTGTAGCGCTAAGATCGCTTTGTGCAAATGGACCCAGGTGACCGCGAAAAGGGTAGATGTAAGCTCAGCACCATCCTGGTGTCCATGCGTTCCCAAAATTCTTTGGATTTGCAGCTGGATCAGGCGGAGGGTAATCAGCGGGGACCATCTGCTTCCGGTAGTCATCCATCCGGGCTTTTAGTTTGTTAACAATGTCCGGCATCTTCTGTGCCAGGTCGTTATGCTCAGTTGGATCGTCTGAGATGGAGAAGTGTGTGATAGTTAATTATGACTGAATGTGCAGAATGGGTGCATCTGTATGCTTAAATTGTAACATCAATTAAGCAAAGTTTCATTATAATTATATTTTGACAAGTCTTTTGAAATATGTATGATTTTTAATATGTAGATATAGTTACTTCACCCACCACGTATATTGTACAGATGAACTGGACTATCTCCTTCAACATATATGGTGGTTATATAAATATCCCTCTCTGTTCTGTTCATAGGCTCGGGCCAGCCATCGGGTCCACCTGGGTAGCCCATTATCAGCTTGTAGTCTCCAACCCTGTGAAAAAACCCATAGGAGTCGGCCATTATATATTCAGATTTTGGGGGTACAAAAAGAAAAAACAACAACAACGTTCAATGGACATGCTCGATGTTCTGAAAAATAAAGTGTAGGTTTTAACGCACAATCTGAAAACATATCCTTTCGAAAACAAAAATCCCAAAAGTCGGTTCCATGCATGAGTACTTCCTGTCATGTCCGAATGTTTATAACTATTTGTAACCAAAAAATGGTCAGTATCCAGGAGTATTGGCTAGTTTCTTGTGATTGATTCAGTTTTTACCCAATTAATTCCACAAAGTATGACTTATAAACTCAAAATATATCAGGTCGTTAAAACTTATCTGTGACCTTATATCAGACTCAGTTACCTGATTCCAGCATGTCCCTCAATTGCTGGCTCAAAGTTGTCAAGATTGTAGATAAACTCGGTCCTTGACGAAGGAAGCCCATTCCTGATCGATTCCCAGTGACTTATACCGTCAATTGACATTTCTAGAAAACATAGTGTTATACTATATTGTCTTACTATTCGACATTGATTCTGAAACGGCATTGTGGCATTCAATATTGTTATAAAAATCTTTCAGCTGTTAAATGACGTCCTGACCTTTGTATGACGTAATATTATAATTGGTAAGAAGGGTTTGAATATTTTAACTGAAATTACATTTTTCTCGTTACATGTTTAACCAACACAAAGAGTATTATTGGGTATTAAAAAGGCTAATACGGCTGCGCACTTATTCGGTGTCAAGGAAATTTAAACATGTATTGGTGGGTAAGACGCTCTCCAAACAGGCAATCTTTATTACCAGGAGAGCCACCAGCTGCTGTCACCAATGTTGGCTTCCAGTCTACAGCATGCATCATTCTGTAATAACACAGGTGCTCTTTAAAATTTGTTATATCTTCTTTCAATCTCATTAAAATCAGATCTCAGTTCTCGCTACCGCTAAACAAAGATCTGAGGACATCTCATTACGGGTCACGTCAGATCGACCTTGCGCAAACTTTGACCGACCAATGGAATGACCAATCAGAAAGCAGCTTTCTCGTGCTTTACGGCACTAATTCAAATTGGCGACTACGCTTCGAAACGTATTTTGACAAATTATCGATTACAAATTTGAAACCTGAACAAAAAGAACATTCTGGAATGGCTAACAGATGGTCTAGATTGTATGGATACAGTCCTTAAACCCGTAACTATCGTTCGGAGTTAAAGTTTTCGAGGCCGCATGATCAAAAATCACATTCTGACTGTCATTTTCATAATCTGGTAAGCGATGCTCTGATTGGTCGGATGAAAGGTCGTTCAGACGTGAATGGGGTGTCTTCAGATCTTTGTTTAGCGGTAGCGAGAACTGAGGTCTGATTTTAATGAGATTGATCTTCTTTAGGCATATATATCTTTGAGTGTCAACTGGTAAGAAATCGTTAAGATCAACATCAGACGTCTTAAAAAAAATGACAAATTTCCAACATTTGAAGTCTGCTGATCAGATAAAACATGTACAAACCCATTGTAAGTTGTCTTTGTTTTTTTCAAGCCGGTGCCATACATGAAGGATGCCCCCCTCGTGCCCCCCTCCCAGATCGTGTGCTTGCCTCCTCTCAGAGGCCAGTTGTTGGCATAACTTGTTATAGGGCCGCCGTTCTGGGGTGACACATAATTGGGGTATAACAACATGCAACAAAGTTATTAAATCAGATGGGTCTGTACAAACTGTAACTTATAATACCCGTGTTAAGGCTACCAACATGTTTCTCGGATATCGGCGTGTTACTTCAAATCCTGCGTCAGTCATTTTTATTACCAAATTCCCTGAGACTGTGTAATTCATGCTTGACCCATTACATCGAATTAAAGGGCCGAGTCCAATGTGTGCCCAGCTGTGTTTACTGGTAATCTTGGTTGGAAGGAATAAGAAATGTTACTCCCTCGTCAGTATTGTTTTCAAAACAAAGAATATAAAAATTCAACCTTACCTGAGAAAAAATCAAATTCGCGTCATTATTATTAATGTTTGGCCAACTTACGTCGCCATAAAACTCTTTTGATGTCCTTATCATGAGGATTTATGATGGTTTTCTCGACCATGTATTTGTCTTTATTTATAATGTTCAGTCACAGAGGAAGATGACGTTCCTTACGTCAGCGGTAAAGAGAATGAGTGTGTTTTCAAACAGGCCCTTCTTTTTAAGTGCCATTGTCACGTTCCCAACTGCATCGTCGAGGGCCGTCACCATTCCTAGAGAGAAGCCATGTCATTACCTAAACAATATATGATTTGCAGGTAGTAAATAGCATTCGTTAACAGATTATTACTGTCACGTGTGTAATGCATACCATGCTGGTTCTATTGGTTTCCTCGATGTATGTTCTCTGTCCATAATGATGTTACAATAGTATCCTTATGTTGTTATGGTTCACCTACTCATGTTATCCCTCCCATGTAGGATAACAGCTGTTACCGTTAATCCCTCACATATAGTGAGTGAGTGAGTTGGGTTTAACGCCACTTTTAACAGTATTCCAGTTATATCGCGGCGTGTCAGCTTAATGTGGGAGGAAAGCCCGAAGTGATGCAGGTCTCAGACGTTTACCACTTCGCTGAAACCCACGAGCACGGGTATGGTGCTGACAAACCTAGAAACATAATCAGGGCGAACCGGGATTCGAACCCACAATCAAAGGTTTCTGGCGTGCCCAAGGGACGCAACTCTGCACAGCGAATCGCGGCGCCTTAGACGACTGGGGCACCCGTGCCCCCCACCCCCTTCATATATAAAATGCAGTACCAAGTTCATTATTCAGTATTGCGTGATAAGAGTATTAGGATGTTTACACCAAAAGGTCGCTATTACAGTGTAATAACGACGTTGTTATCCATAATGTTTTTGCCAACTTTAAATGGAAATGTAGAACATATATATAGCTAGCTGCAACTGTTTGGTTACGTCATGATATCATGCTGGTGGGTGAGTGAGTGAGTGAGTATGGTTTTACGCCGCTTTTAGCAATATTCCAGCAATATCACGGCGGGGGACACCAGAAATGGGCTTCACACATTGTACCCATGTCGGGAATCGAACCCGGGTCTCCGCGTGACGAGGGAACGCTTTAACCACCAGGCTACCCGACCGCCCCTGGTGGATGAATGTGGAACTACAATTTAAAGGATACTAAAATACCTGAGTACGTCCTGCGACCTTGGTTCATCACATTAGGGTACATGTTGAAGTACTCTACGGGAACCTAAATAGAACGAGAACGTTGTCACGAGGCTAAGTGCTTAATGCTCCAGATAACTGTCATATTCAGTGATGGGGTAGCAATCATTTGTTTCCTTCGGAAATGAATCATTGAATGAAATTGTCAAATATATTACAAATAAATTGCGCATAGTATGTACGTTATGTCTGCAACTAAACACAAATAGTATACTAGATTCAAAGATGTTCATATACCGATGGGCTTATGCTCAAAATAACTGTCATATAAATGAAAATGGTAGCATTCTAGATTTGGAAGTTATATTCTATTGTAGCCTTCAGAAACGTGTAAACAAAACAGTCAATGAATGTTTGTCATATATTGCTTATGTACATGAAAATATGTACGTTTCTTTTTGTAACAAAACACACACAGTTCCATAGTTTGAAAGGTGACCCTACCTCCATTGGATCGTGTACGCTCTGATAGGGCAGGTACATAAACAGCGGCTGGGAGACATTGTGTTGGTGGATGATGTCAACAGCTTTCTGGGCGAATGTATACTGAAACACAGGCATGCAGTGACGGCAATTTGTTTCTTGTAATAGTAGATTACACTATCAGTCACTCGATTTATCAAGTGGTTGTTATTATGAGCCACGATCACGCCGCCGGGGTACGATGAAACGCAACAAACCATGTCACCACCCGATCCACTAAGTCGCAGACCCGTGAAGACGCCGGGGTAGAATAGGTCTTCAGCAACCCATACTTGCCATAAAAGGTGACTATGCTTGTCGTAAAAGGCGACCAACGGGATCGGGTGGTCAGGCTCGCTGACTTGGTTGATACATGTCATCGATCCCAATTGCGTGGATCGATGCTCATGATGTCAATCACTGGATTGTCTGGTCCAGACTCGATAATTTTACAGACCGCCGTCATATAGCTGGAATACTGCTGAGTGCGGCGTTAAACAACAAACAAACAAACAAACAAAACACTCATTGAAGTTGCATCTTACGACCAGACCTCGTGAAGATCCGGGTTAGAACTGGTCTTCGGCAACCCATGCTTGTAAAACACGACTAACGGGAGGCTCGTTGACTTGGTTGATGCATGTCATCGTATCCCAAATGCGTAGATCGATGCTCATGATGTCAATCACTGGATTGTCTGGTCACACTGGATCTTTTTACAGATCGCCGTCATATAGCTGGAATATTGCTGATTCAGGCGTCAAATAACAAAATACAAAATAAACTTACGTTCGGCACAGGTTACTGGGGACCATTCTTGTTCGGATTCTCCACAGGTGATTCTTGGTGGAAAGGCGACAATCTAGTTCTCCTACAATACGTTCTGTTTGCAAGGGAGGATCAGCCAAGTCACCGAGTCTGGACACCCGATCCTTTAAGTTGTTGTTGTTGTTGTTTGTTGTTTAACGCCACACTCCGAAATACTCCAGCTATATGACCGCGGTCTGTAACTAAGCGAGTCTGGACCAGACAATCCAGTGATTGACATCATGAGCATCGGTCCACGCAATTGGGATGCGATGACATGCATCAACCAAGTCAGCAAGCCTGACCACCCAGTCCCGTGAGTCGCCTCTTACGACAAGCATAGTCACCTTTTACGGCAAGCATGGGTTGCTGAAGACCTATTCTACCCCGGATCTTCACGATTCTGATCCTGTAAGTGGCCTCTTGGAATAAGCAAATGTTACTGGGATCAATTTTAACCTGGAATTCCAATATATAGCGGTTTAAAGATGTATGTGCGCATACAGGGAATTGTTTGTGGTTCGCCTGAAGTGAGTGAGTTGGGTTTAATGCCGCTTTGAACCGTATTTCAGTTATATCACGGCGTGTCAGATTAATGTGGGAGGAAAGCCCGAAGTGATGCAGTTCTCAGACGTTTACCACATCGGTGAAACCCACGACCACGGGTATTTTGCTGACAAACCTAGAAACATAATTGGGGCGAACCGGGATTCGAACCCACAATCATAGGTTTCTGACACGCCTTGGAAAGCTCAAAGTGATGCAGACCTTAGACGTTTGCCCCTTTGGTGAAATTCACGAGCAGGGGTATAGTTCTGATAAATCAAGAAACGATATAAAACCGAACCAAACAACACCTGAGGGAAGTGTGGCGCCTCAGATTTGTGCAGAAATGCGTCAACTTTCGAAACGTTGGAAATTTACAAACTACAGTAAACTACGGTTATAACGACCACGCTTATAACGAACTTACGGATATAACGAACTTACTTTTTGGCCCCGACTACTTGCTGTAGTCATGCTGTATATGTTCTTATAACGAACTACGGTTATAACGAACTAAAATTAGTAGTCCCTTTGAGTTCGTTATAACCGTAGTTTACTGTATCCTACTGAGTAGAACAACTACCCCTTGAACAAATTCTTAATCGCTCAAGTTATCTTTGTTAGGTGCTTCAGTTTGTTAATGTTCCTTCAGGTTATGTTTGTGTGTTGTTCAATGCCGCACTCAGCAATATTTCAGCTATATGACAGCGGTTTGTAAAAAAAATCAAGTCCGACAATCCAGTGATAGACATCATGAGCATCGATCTACGCAATTGGGATACGATGACATGCATCAACCAAGTCAGTGAGCCTGACCACCTGATCCCGTCTCTTACGACACGCATAGTCGCCTTTTACGACAAGAATGGCTTGCTGAAGACCTATTCTTCACCGATCCCTTCAGGTTATGGGTAAGCCAGGTTCTTGTATGCTATTTGGTGTTTTTCTGTACAGAGATAGGCATTTGGTAAAAATAAACGTTTATGTTTTGTAATAGGTGTGTTTGCTGTCATGAAACAAAAATAACAAAAATAAGTTACAGCTGAATATTCTCCTTTGTAGTCCCAAGCAGGAAGTTTGTTGTCTCTGTAGTCTAAATAGCCACCTGTAAACAAACAAATGAACAAAAACAAATTATAAATATGAACATAGTTTTTAAATGTTGCATCTACACATTGAGCCCTATGATGAACAGGTGTGATTACTGCATCATCAGCCTTGTAGTTTATGTGTTGGTTGTTTGGTGTTATATGCCCACTCAGCGATATTTCAACTTTATGACGACGGCCTGTAAATAATAATCGAGTCTCGAAGCGCCAATTCGTGGGCACGGGTGCCCCAGTCGTCTAAGGCGCCGCGATTCGCTGTGCAGAGTTGCGTCCCTTGGGCACGCCAGAAACCTATGATTGTTGGATCGAATCCCGGTTCGCCCCAATTATGTTTCTAGGTTTGTCAGCACCATACCCATGCTCGTGGGTTTCACCGAAGAGGTAAAAGACTGAGACCTGCATCACTTCGGGCTTTCCTCCCACATTAAGCTGACACGCCGCGATATGACTGGAATACTGTTAAAAGCGGCGTTAAACCCAACTCACTCACTCACTCACGAAGCGCCAATTCAGTGATTGATATTGTGAGCACCAATGAAGCAGGATACGCTTGTCCGGTATCATCCAGGTGCCTGACGACTCATCAATAAAATCGCCTCTTACGACAAGCAGAGGTTCCTGGGGATGTATTCTCACGTCGGGGTTTGTAGTGCACGTAGTTGTGTACTTGCCTAAGCTGTGGTTGAAGTAGCCCTCCTGTGCGTTGTAGTAGCCGAAGAACGTGTCAAACCCTCTGTACGTTGGTGTGCACTCCCACTTGCAGAACCCCAGGTGCCATCTGGAACAGGACATACAGTGCGTTAAGGGTTGGAACGTGTTGTAGTTTGGCGAAGAGCGTAACATCCGTGATCAGTGTTCAGTCAAGCTGGCTTATTTATTGACTTATCATATGTACTTTATAAGCCCTTGATATTATGCATGTAACAATATCGAAATCTATTTCTTGGTCTGTGTGTGCGTGTGCGTGCGTGAGCGTTTATGTGTGCTGCGCTCAGCAATAATCTAGCTATACGGCGGCATCATGTCAATAAGCGAGTGTGGACTAGACAAACCAGTGATTGAAATTGTGAGCAACCACCGATGCCGTCGGGGTAAATGAAGCGCAATCACACACACACACACACACACACACACACACACACACACACACCACCACCACCACCACCGATCATAAAGTCGCCCCTTGCGACAAGCACAGTTTACTAGTGACCAATTCTTACAGTGGCGTCCTGGACTGTATGAATCGTAGAAACTCCTGGAATACGTCCTTTTTGCCAGAAAGGATTTATTAAGATATTCTTTCGACAAACATGAAGCAGAGATCTGAACATTGTTTTCTTTGCTTGTTGTTTAACGCCGCACTCAGGAATATTCCAGCTGTATGACGGCGGTCTCTAAATCATCGAGATTAGACCAGATAATTCAGTGATTGGCATCATGAGCATCGATCCACGTTATTGGGATACGATGACATGCATCAACCCAATCTCATTAAAATTAGATCTTAGTTCTTGCTATCGCTAAACAAAGATCTGAGGACATTCCATTACGGGTCACGCCAGAACGACCTTTCATCCGACCAATCAGAGCTTCGCTTACCAGATCATGACTGTCGGAAAATGTTTTCTAATCATGCAACCTCGAAAACGTTAACACGGGGTATTCCGAACGACAGTTACAACCGGTACGACTGATTCCGTCGAATTTATCGTATATCCCTCGCTTCAGTGGGATAAACGTTGGAACGGAGGAGGCGTTGAACAGTATGTTGGAAGCACTGCCATACAATCTCAACCGTATATTAGACATTCCGGAATGTTCGTTTGTTCAGTTTTCAAAATTTTAATCGAAAACTGTGTCATCATATTTTTCAAGCGTAGTCTGAAATGGAAGTCGCCAGGTTGAAACGAGTGTCGTAAAGCTCGAGAAAGCTGCTTTCTAATTGGCTGATGTCGACTTCTTGTTAGTCATTTCAGTCGGTCCAAGTTCGCAAAAGGTCGTTCTGACGTGACCCGTAATGGGATGTCCTCAGATCTTTGTTTAGCGGCAGCGAGAACTCAGATCTGGTTTCAATGAGCCTGACCATACGATCCCGTTAGTCACCTCTAACGACAGCTATAGTCGCCTTTTACGACAAGCATGGGTTGCTGAAGACCTATTCTACCCCGGATCTTCACGGGTCGATCTGGACAGTGGGCAGGCTGTATCGTGTTCATGTTGTTGGGGCTTTTGTGGACGTACTTGCCAACCATGTGGGTAGCATAGCCGAGTTTCTTCAACTCCTGCGGCAGGAAGGTGTAGTTGAGAGGCACACATGTAGCCTGGCTGTCGCTAATAACTATGTGCTAGAAATTGAAAATCATATTTTGTATAAGTACTATTATATCCATAAAAGGAGGCACAGGTGACCCAGTCGCCTAAGGCACCTGTATTCGCTATGCAGAGCTATTGCTGACAAATTTTGAATCATAATTTGTTTGAATATTGATTCGAACCCATGATCATTGGTTTCTGGCACGAGTGAGTGAGTGAGTGAGTGAGTTGGGTTTAACGCCGCTTTTAACAGTATTCCAGTTATATCGCGGCGTGTCAGCTTAATGTGGGAGGAAAGCCCGAAGTGATGCAGGTCTCAGACGTTTACCACTTCGGTGAAACCCACGAGCACGGGTATGGTGCTGACAAACCTAGAAACATAATCGGGGCGAACCGGGATTCGATGCCACAATCATAGGTTTCTGGCGTGCCCAAGGGACGCAACTCTACACAGCGAATCGCGGCGCCTTAGACGACTGGGCCACCCGTGCCCCCCTCTGTTCTATCGAAGTGTGTCCGTTCTTTCATACATCTCTTGTTGGCAACACATATTCCAAGCATATGGGCGTATTCAAACATGGTGTTTTTCACATCTTAAAATGGTTTATCTGCATTTATGTTTGATAAGACTATCCTCTTAATACGCCACTGTTCTACACTTTCTAATGTCAGGGGCGGTTTGGTAGCCTAGTGGTTAAAGCGTTCGCTCGTCACGCCGAAGACCCGGGTTCGAATCCCGACATGGGTACAATGTGTGAAGCCCATTTCTGGTGTCCCCCGCCATGATATTGCTGGAATATTGCTAAAAGCGGCGTAAAACCAAACTCACTCACTCACTCACTCACCATCGGAATCCAGTTGATACGTCGTGGTACATTTTCTAGTACAACCTGGGTTTACACATTGACTTAACACTTATTTCCCTCTAATCTTATCTTGAATTTGTTGTGGGTTAATTAATTAATCAGTTTGTTGCTTTTGGTAATCCTAGTCATTTGGTATGATCAGTGGTCTAGTGTCACTACACACCATGGGATCTACTCAGGAGAATTCTTTCATAAATCTCCTATAACAGTTTGTATATCTGTATATGTATGTATTTCCTATGTATTCTACTCCTGAATATCAGAAGAAATATTCTCTGTAAAGTATAAACATGCATACCACATATATCTTACCTTTTTTAACTATCACGAATAGCATAACACAAACATCCTACGATTCTATATACACTTTACTAACTTTGAATTTTTGCAATATATTCCCATCCAGAAGTGGCATAACATTTTTAATAAATATTAATAAGAGAATAATTTGATTTCCTTTTTTTGTCTCTTGAATTCTTAAAGAAAGATCACTATATTATTACATTTACCACTGTGTCCCAAAGTGTCCAAGATTGCCATTTATAAGAGAACGTTTCTGTATTATTTACATATATCACATCCTCTATATCTCAAGGGCTCGCATGTCAGTTAGCGTAGGTATACAGAAATGCCATCCATGGTTGTTTGGCTTGGTTGGTTTGTTGTTTAACGCCGCACTCAGCAATATTCCAGCTATATGACGGCGGTCTGTAAATAATCGAGTCTGGACCAGACAATCCAGTGATTAATATCATGAGCATCGATCCACGCAATTAGCATCGACGACATGCGTCAACAATGTCAGCGAGCCTGACCACCCGATCCCGTTAGTCGCCTTTTACGACAAGCCTAGTCACCGTTTACGGCAAGCATGGGTTGCTGAAGACCTATTCTACCCCGGAATCTTCACGGCCATCCATGAAGATATAGAGGAGATATATATCACCACCTCGTGATTTTTTTTACAGGTTCTCTAGAACATCGTGTAACACCTTCATATAGTTAATGAGCTCCTCTATGCTGTTGTATATTGTATATCATTCATATCATATATATATTTTCTTCTTCTATTTCAGGGCGGTCGGTAAAACCATACTCACTCACTCACTCTTCTATTTCATAAGGTGGCAGGGTGCCCCAGTCTTCTTAGACGCCGCAATTCGCTGCGCAGAGTAGCGTCCTTGGTCAGAAATGCAGGACTCCGACGTTTACCACTTTGGTGAAACCCACGGGTATAGTGCTGACAAATTAAACCCATGATCTTAGGTTTCTGTACCCAATGGACGCGAATTGCGGCGTCTGTGACGACTGGGCCACCGGCGACTCCCGTCGTTGTCGGATCTTCTAGAGGACCAATATTAGGCTTTGGTCGACCTGCTTTCCTCTTTGAACTGATGAATCCGAGGACCTTAAAATATTTGAAAATCCACCCACCCCCTCCCCCGAAAACCGGGGAGGATTTTCCCAAAGTTTTAACTCCAATCGTAAATTGTCCATTGAATGTCCTCTATACAATTTGTCGAGTATCGTGTTTACTTATCCTTTTCGAAGTAGGAAATTGTATGCTTTGAAACATTCACAGAAAAAAATGTCTCAAAGAGAATTCCAATCTTCTTTTATACATGGTCGTAATGACAGCCATGTTGAATTTGTGATTTGCATCAACAATCAGTCACCAAATAAACCCTGTTATCTATACACCCTTACGTAAAGATCCCCATGCACACATGTTGAGGGTGTGTGAACGCTTTGGAAAAACCTCTTCACTCCGGCAGCAAACATTTAAATGACGACAACAGTATACATATATACATACCTGTACACCCAAACACCCAAACGTTTTTGCCTGTAGCATTGCTACCCCATAACAACCACACACCTGAAGCTGTTTCCTCCCCTTTCATCCTACCCCTCACAACGCTCGGTGGGTTGCCGGGTTAGAATAGGTCCCCATTTACCTATGGTGGTCGTATAGTCGACTAAATGGATCGGGTGGTCAGGCTCGACTACTTGGTTCATTGCGTGTCATCGTACTCCGACGGCGTGTTCACAAATTCGATTACTGGATTGTCTGGTCCAGACTCACTCACTCACTGTTATAGAGCTTGTATATTGCTGATTGTAGCGTTAATCAAGAAACAGTCATAATTCAATCAATCAAGTCTCACCGGAAGACCCACTTCACCTGACAATCTATCTGAATACGACTTTTATCCTTTAAGTATCAATAATAGATAAAGGCGACAGAATCCTTTCCATATTCATAAGAATTCTCTGTTAAAAGCAGATTCCAATTTACGATTCCGACAATATCATGATCACTATACTCATGAATCACTATCAAATAGTAATGATACCAGGTGTTCGCGAAAAGGTGATCGTATCCTGCCCCACCGGGGGCACCCGTAACAGGCGCATGCAAAAGCAAGTCAATTGTTCACCTGACAAAACACGGGAACGGGCATCCATATCATGCAATACCCTGAAGTGATGAACGTGTAATGCAGAAAGACAGCGACTTTGATCCATCATCCCAGCAATGGTGTTGCAGGGACTTACCGAGGCCTATGTTATGGAGAGTCCCCCCCCCCCCCCCCCCCCCCCCACCACCACCAAAAAAATAAATAAATAAATAAATAAATAAATAAATAAATAAATAAATAAATAAATAAATAAATAAATAAATAAAAATAAAAAATAAAAATAAATATAAAAAAATTATGTGTGTATTTTGCCTCTTTCGGAAAGGGATTTTCTTGTTTGAAACGAAATTTAATGACTGAGTAAAGAAATCTGACATAGATATCCGAACATTGATTGTATTTCTTATCAGAACATACATGTCATACAAATCAAACTTATAGTTTCAATTTAATCATTCCAACATCTACATTCCTGTGTGTCCAATGGGTAATATTTGCGTCCATTCATAATTGTTATGCGTACAGTGCGCAATATTTTGCCCCCGGTAAAACCCTGATTTATTTATTCATTATTTTTGAATGCATCATCATGACCTCAAAGTTACTGCTTATAATCCCAGTATGTGTGTCTCAGGAATATGCATGTTGTTTTGTTGTATTGGAACTTCTGTTACTAAGTTCGGCATTTTCGTGTTAATTTTGTTTTTTATTGTTTTATTATTTTGAAAATAGTCCAGCAAAAACAGTCGAGCTTCAGAGCTTTGTGCATATGGCAGTATACTAGTATTTGCATATATCATTATAAAACTGTTTATCAATACTGGCACCGTTCCCTAACTTAAGCTGGATTCTCCTTTTCGCCATATCTTCTGAGTGAGTGAGTTCGGTTTTACGCCGCTTTTAGCAATATTCCAGCAATATCACACAGGGGTACACCAGAAATGGGCTTTGCACCAACGTGAGTTTGTTTGTTTGTTTGTTTGTTGTTTAACGCTACACTCAGCAATATTCCAGCTACATGACGGCAGTCTGAAACAAATCGAGGCTGGACCAGACAATCAAGTGATTGACATCATGAGCATCGATCTACGCAATTGGGATACAATGACATGCATCAACCAAATCAACGAGCCTGACCACCCGATCCCGTTAGTCGCCTCTTACGACAAGCATAGTCGCCTTTTACAGCAAACATGGGTTGCTGAAGACCTATTCTACCCCGGATCTTTGCGGTCTGTACCCATGTGGGGAAACGAACCCGGGGCTTCGGTGTGACGTGCACAGCTTTAACCACCATCAGGCTACCCGACCGCCAACCCCCTCCATTATCCATTGGATTCTTGAAACTGGAACGTAGTGACTAACCCAGGAGTTTTGTCTCCAGGAGTTTTAAAACACATGCTATATACATCCTTAGGGACCGACCATATTAATATTCAGTTTGGAGGCTAGATATTTCTTCATTCTTCAGCTACAAAACCAGATATTGGTTGCAAAACCAGATATATTTTTAATTAATTCTGGGTGGCTAAATAATTGAGCTTTATAATTATGTTTTTTTTTAGTTGCTTTGGCAGACAATATGGTTTTTACAAAGACGTCTGAAGCATAATTATTCTTTTCAAGCATTTTCTGGGAACATTAATAACTTCTTTGATAAAAATCCCATTTTGATCATTGTCAACAAACTCATATATCCTAAAAACTAAAGCAACAAATAAACACAACGATATCCAGTCAACT